GATGGTTGTCCTGCATTGTTTTTTCGGTTTTCCATTTGTCTTTCATTAAATTCATGTGGCACCCATTTTCCACACTTTTGGATCTTTCCCATAGCTTTCAAACGGTCTGAAATTATTTGCTTATTTATCATGGCTGCCATTTGCTTTTGAAGCAAAGTATCATCTTCAACCATAATTGCTCGCAGTTCGTCGTCTTCAAACTTTTTTGGTGATCTTCCACGTTCTTCATTTCTCACATCAAAATCATTATCTCTGAACCGTTAAAACCATCTTTTGCATGTGGCTTCTGATAGAGCATGATCACCATATGTCTCGACAAGCATTCGATGCGACTCTGCAGCACTTTTATTGAAATGGAAACAAAAAATTAATGCTTTCCGCAAACCGTCACTTTTCGGTACAAAATTTTACATTTTCAACATAATAAAAAATATGATGTTGGTTATTAAATGAATGTCAGGTTATTGAATATGTTTGACCAAACAGAAAAAAAAATTAAAGCTCGTTCACATCAAGTGTTTCCTACCAACACATATGTATCTTAACGCTCATTTCACACCTGGTATAATTAAGTAGATTAGTTTAAAAATTAATTGTAAGGCTTTGAGCTGATAAATTTTAATACACAATGTTTTAAAATTGTAGTCACCGATAGACGTACAAATATATATTAGAGTGTCCGATGTTTCTCCAAGAAAAAGCATCCAGTGTAAACAAGCTCTACCGTATCATAATCGTAGTATTTCTTTTCCCATAGGATTTTTTTAAATTTTACATTAAGCAAGTAAATCTGAAAAAATGATATACCAATACAAAATTTTCCGCTCCATAAAAAAGATCTTATTAATTCTTTTCATAAATTCCTTTAAAAGTTACATATGTATATACAGTCAAAGTTATACATCAAATGACCTGAGCATTCTCACAAGTGATTTGTACATTCATTCTGTGTTGCTCATCCGACATGGTGTACTATAAGAAAATTTTGTAATACAATATCCTTCTTTTAAAGTTGAAGGTTTGTTTGCTTTGAAGATAAAATGATTATTGCAAAAGTAAGTAAGTGGGAAAAAAAATCAACATGGTAAATAACGGACACCCTAAAATATATACTTGTACATACATATATCTTTGTTAATTATATGAAAAAAATTACTTTGGCGAAAATTTGATTTAAAGTAATCAGTTACAATAAAAAAAATTATTTCATATATCTAACACAAATTTAAAAAAATGTCAATGAAAAATTAAATTTATCTAAATGAACTCTGTACATCTAAAAAAGTTACTTTATACCAGACTTTCCAAAGGCTTTGATTTTCTATTCTTTATTCAGCTAAAAAAATTTAACACTATTTGAAACCAAAGCTCGCAAAGTACTTGCAACTTAAGGGCTTTAGCATCTAGAATGTTACCAATACAGTACCTCATTGTTTTCATAACTTGACTTAAGCTTTTTTTATCAAACAACCACACATATATGTACATATATATATTATATAACAATATTTGAATTATATTGTATATTTATTTATAAATTTGAAGATATGTTATTAACGAATTTCAAAATAATCCAGCATTCAAATGTCATAATATCATATTATATATAAATATAAAAATATATTTGAAAAAGTTATATGTGATTTTAAATTTTATTAATAATTATATATTTATTATTATTTAAAAAGTATAAAAAATAGATAACAAATAAATGCTATGATTTTACTTATGTAACAAAAATCAATTATTGTAAAAAGCATATAATCAACATAAACATTTTCAAATATTACTGTATGACACACCACAAAGATTTTTTAAATATTTATCGATAATAATTGTACATACATAAGTCATTCACTAATTAATTATTAAGAATATTTGCTGTGAATGTTAGTGTGCTTCAAAAGTGCTATAAAAACAATGTACGCCAATACAATGTATTATGAATGTGATAAAAATAAAAACATAATAATAAATTGCGCAAATATATTGTTTTAATTACTTTAGTAGTAGTGGTGAGACTAGTAACATATATACTTTACTTGTAGTCTTCACGTCAACTTTACAGTATCAGCGAAAAAATCTGCATTCTTAGTTAAGAACACGTTGGAGAGAAAAGTAAGTAGCTATAATTACACAAACTCTAAATCAAATGATGCTTGAAAAATAAATGGCCATTAAAGAAAGTCATGAGAGCAGCCTTAGAAATTTTGGAAAACTTGACTGCTACATACTACATACACTAGGCAGAAAAAGTCTGCGTACAAGGAACCAACAAAAAAAAAATCGTTTGAAAAAAATAATTGTAACTACTTTTTATAAAAATCAATTTTTTTGATGTTCATTAAAGGATATTAAATATGTGGTTTTTTGAAAATAAAAGTGATTAAATTTGGGGCAATAACATATAAACAAAGCCAAACATGCCGTCGAATAAAAAACGCATTAGAAAAGGTTTGCGTACAGGGTAAAAAGACAAGCAAGGATATTCTTCCACCGAATTCTTCTTAAAATTTAATAAAAACTCGGATATTCCCAACGTTTTAAATCTTCCGCCAGAGGTTTTGGCATGAAATAGACAAGCTCAGAGGTTTCTGTCGAAGGGATGTAAGCCCATTCCTCGTTCAGCATATCCTTGAGCCTATCCTTTAAGGTAATTGTGCGTTGGCGGATTTTACGTTCCTGTGAATCCCATAGGTGCTTCATAAGATTCAAATCTGGTAATTTTGGTGGTGTTTGAAGCTGCTTGGAAACGTTGTAGAGTAACCAAAGCTTAACTATGTCTATGCTATATGCTTCGGGTCGTTATCCTGTAGAAAAGCAGTCACTTCCAAGCCACAATTCTTCCGCTCTTTATTTCAAATGTATTTTTGAAATATTAAGGTATGCATATTTGTCCATGGTGAACTCTATAACTACACCTCCATATCATTACTTCTTCACCAAAGTGCTTCACAGTATAAAATGCCGGTATGCTTGTAATTTTTTATTATTCTTTTTATGGAAGAATGTATTCTTCACATAATTCGACCGATTTCATTGTTTTACCAAAACAAGTGAAACTATAACCTTCCGACACGCGATTCCTATTTTACTACTTGTACGCAGACTTTCTGCGCTGAGAAATGACAATTTTTGTCCTAATTTATCGTTAAAACTATGGTATCAGATTTTCACTGCTTTAAATTCTATGGAATTATGCAATAAACTAGCAATAAAGCAGTTAATGTGATGTTATTCTAAAATTTAGTATACAAAAGATATTTTTTAACAAAAGAAAATAAGACAAGCGTGTACGCAGACTTTTTCTGCCGAATGTACATACCTTATGTAAATATAAGAGGTCTGCCAACAAGATCGACGTGATGTTAAAATGAAATAAAACACTCATATTTGGTCAAAATGGGTTCTGTTTGTTATGCACTTTATGCCATTTATGATTTAAATAAAATGTCCGCCAAATGGTCACCACGGCTCCGTTTGCATATCTCCACCCGTTTACACCAATTTTTGATGCCCCGGTGCAGTATTTCGGTTTAAATGCGCTGAATGTTGTCTTCGAGCTCCTCGAGCTTTGCTGGTTGATTGGATTTAACATACCACCAGAGAAAATAATCTAGAGGCGTTAAATCGCATAAATTGGCGATCATTTGACTAAGCCATTTCTCGAAATTAACATCGTGTTATGACGCTCGCTGTTGATTATAACGGCATTTCCTGCCTCAGTCCGAAATAAATAAGGCCCGATGATGCCGCCATACCACAATCCACAGCAAACAGTCAATTTTTGGGGATGCAATTGCGTTTTAAGCCAAAAATGGTTTTTCGATGAACCTGGATTTTTTAATTTTTTCTGAGAGCATAAATTTGCGTAATAGTCTTAACAATTTCCAAGCGTTGTATCAAAATGAAACATGACATGCTGAAACGGCAAACCTTTGAACACTCTGGCAAAATTAGACACACATCCGTAATTAAACATGGCCGCCACGAGCTGTCAAAATCACGTATTCCTATTGGTAGACGCTGTATGTACGAAATCAAGTTTGCTCTATACCCGCCTATTCTTCGGGTGTTATCTCAAGAGAGTAAATTTTTAGACAGGAAGGTAGGAAAAGTATTTGTTTTGGCATGTCTGTTCCAAGGTTGCGAATATTTTAATTAAAAATTTTGGATTAAAAACTAAATTTTCAATTTTTAATCCCAACATCGGAATTTAAAAATTTATAAAGTATATAGCATATGAATGTGTAAGTGAGTGCTCTAAATCGTACTTTAAATTGTTAAATTTTTCAACTAAAATGCAAATATTTCTAAAACTATAATATTCTTGAACTGGAGAACCTCCTCTATACGTTTGGCATTGATATTTGTTTTTTAATTTGGTATTTAGGATCAAAAATTACTTTGAATTAAGATTTTCGGGATGGCAAAATGAAAAATAAAAATTAGTCCAAATGCTAATTCGTTTGCTTTTTAAATACATTATTTACAACCCTGCTCTGATCACATCTTTAGAGTTAAAACGTTTATGTTGCAAATAAGAAAATAATTGAATTAACATTTTAATTAAATTTTATTCCGCATACCAGATTGAAAAATAAAACACAATTTTTAATCCCAGCTACAGGATTAAAAATTTAGTTTTACCAGATTAGCAAAAAAATGAAAAATTTTGGTCCCAAGTATAAAATTAAAAATTAAAAAGAGAAATTGTTTTAAAAATATTTTTCGTGTTTGCGTACTTCATTTAAATTAAAAAATTAAATTTTCAATTTACAATATTTAATCGCAAACGGTTTGGATTAAAAAGTAGATCCCAACATCGGGATTTAACATAAAGATTTACTTTTTAATCCCTAATTTCTTAATTAAAAAACTCGCAACCCTGTATAAAAGCTTAAAATATTAAAAATTGATACAAAAATTAAAGAAAACTTGAAAAGTGTAAACACTGAGTAAAAACACAAATCATTTAATATTCTTTTGGAATGATGCGATAATAATAAATTAAACACAGGCCTCGATATAATTATATAGTATAGTAATTCCCGGAAATTCTTAAATTTTCTCATAAATAGCCGTACAAGAATATTCAAGTTAAAGTTTAGTGAGTTTCGCATATTCATATGTAAATATATCATACAACATATTCTAACATATATGAACGCAAAAATGTGATTGTATACAATTAAAAAATAAGAATTGGAAAAATCAACTGCTTTCGATATAGAAGGTGTAACTATACTTAATTTTCGGCAAATATTGCAACCAGGCCAAATATTGGTGTATTTCAAATATAGGAGCTTACCCACTACATATAAATGCAATCAAGCATACACAAAAGCATGGAATTTCTCAAGTAAATTGTATCAGAAATTTGGAAAATTTCTTTATTGAAACCATTTTTCTTATCAGTGAAATGCCAGTTATGGTTATAAGGCTTAAGCACATTATTTACATGGCTTTGGTAAAAGATAAATCGCCGACAACTGCACATAGAATTCGAACATTATTGTGAAACAAGTAAAATTACAAAACTTTTAATACTTAACATATAAAACTAAAAATATTTTCTGCTAGATTTTACAGCGACAAACCCAACTGATGACGTTTAATCAAATGATAAAGGATTATTTATTTATGGCGCAAAATTCGGAGATTTAGTTCTTCTATATTCTGCTGAAGCCAGCGCCGTAATGAGTGATGAGGAGGTTGAACATGTGTACGTGGATACGATATTTGAACTTATATTAGTTTCATTTTTTTGGTAAACGTATAGTTTAGGTCCCCCGTCGACGGAGGCCTCGAAAATTAAATTTTTTTAAATCAGAAAATAGAGGTAAAAAAATTCAAAATCAATGCGGTTTTGCAAAGGCGAATCCTAAGTCAGGTGAGAGAAAATTCGTTTGTGACCTATTCCGCCCTTAAGAAGCAATATTCTTTAAATGTGAATGTTTTAACCATTCGAAAGTTATTAATCAAAAACAATTTGAAAGCTAAAGTTGCTCGGAAGGTACCGTTTCTGACCAAATTCAATATAAAAAAAACGGTTAAAATTTGCTGATGATCGTGCTGAGTGGTCAGCTAGTAAATGCCGAAACATTCTTGGGTCAGATGAAACCAAAGTGAATTTATTCAACTCTGACCGAGGTAGTCTTTCTGTGCGAAGACCGCCCAATACCGAATCCCTTCCACAACACAATATACTTGTAAATACGATAAAACATTGCGGTGGGAGTATAATGGTTTGGGGGTGCTTCTCATATTATGGAACAGGTCCACTATTTTGGATAGAGGGTAGAATGGATGCATTACAATACACTAAAATTTTAAATGAAACCATATTACCTTATGAGTAGTTTAATATGCCACTTCAATGGGTGTTTCAACAACATAACGACCCGAAACGCAGAATGCCAGAATTTAGTGGATTATATGCCCAGACTTTGCACAGCAGTTATAAAAAAGAATGGATACTGCACTAAATATTAATGTAACAGTTATTATTTTTTATCCTTTCTATTGATTATTTCATCAAAAATTACAGCTTTTAAATCACAGGAAACAAATAAATATAAAAATCGTCTTCTGGCTCTATTTAATCGCACATCACTGTATATACATACATGTTCCTTGGCAAAAAAGTAAGGACGAGTTCGTTACGATGGGCGTAATCGTACCCCTGGCGCGCACACAAAACGTCATTATTCGAAAACGTATATGTAAAGTGTAATAACTAAGCCGTAAATTAAGATACAGACAAGCTATATTACCAAAATTTGCACAGGACAGATTTTTTTAACCCTTCTTGCGATGGTGTGAAAATAGATGAAATCGGATTATAACTCCGCCCACTCCCCGTATAACGGTTTGGTTAAAAACTACTGAAAGTGCGATAAATCAATAACTAAAGGCGTCAGAGATCTTACATTTTACATCCACGATGACACAAGAGGGTTTTATAGGCCGTTCCCACGACAGTCTGGTCTACGTAACCGGAACGGACCTGGATTTAATCCGGCCAAGGACTGTCAACTCGGTAGAATTCTGCCGCTACAACAACAACAAACACAGGGTTTTATAGGAGCGGTTCTTAAAATTGGACAATGGGCCTGGCACTGCCCATTTTAAGATAAAATCACATACCTCGGGACCTGCTCGACCGATTTCAACCAAATTCGGTACCAAGGACTACAAGTATTTTGACATTCCCATGTTACAATGCGAAAATAGGCGAAATTTCACTACAACCACGCCTACTTCCCATATACAAATTAAGCACCAATTAATTTAGGATAAAACTTTTCCCGAAAGGTGCCTTTGCAGTGTGCCACCTTATAACCAAAAATTGTCCAAATGAAACCAAAACTGTTCAAGCTCCGAGGTACCGAATATGTGGACCCCAGTGCATATAGTTGACTTTTTACCGAAAATATCGGTCAGTCTGTAAGATATGTAATTGAAATTCGGAGAAAATCCTTTCCTGATAATTTTCTGTGTGAATGTCCAAAATGGGCTGAATCGGGTCAATACATCCCTTAGCCTTCATATACCCAATATAAAGATTTTCGATCTTCCGGGTATGCATATCGGCCAATACGAGATATGTATATCTCAATGAAAATGAGAGAGCGTGTTTTAGATGATTGATTGTGAAACCTTGACTTAGCCCCTATACTTTTATGACTAATAACAGAATTTTTCGAACATCCGGCTGACTTTACTCCATGTAGATTGGTGATGGTACGTGAGGTACCTTAATGGAACCTGGGGAGCATTTTATTAGTATGTGGTATTGGCAAAAATAGATAAAATCGGGTCAATACTGCCCCCAATTCCCATATACTAGATACAAGTATAATGATTTTCGTTTTTCTAACAAGCTTAACGCCGAATATGTCGCTCATTGAGAATTATTGCTTCAAAATATGTTCACAAGTATAACTCAGTAATGACCATTAATGCAATCTGCCCTACCCTTTCTCTGCCCCTAATATACTCCATATAATGATTTCCGTCTTTCCATCTGACTTAAAACCGTTTAGGTTGGTCAAAATATGATATGATGATATATATGGGAAGTTTTAAAAAAAATAATAAAAGGTTCGGTTACTCCCGCACTTAGCTATTCCTTACTTGTTTATTTTTTTTTTAAATACCTATATATATTTATATTTTTTTAATATAATATATATATATATTTCTTCTGTGCGTGTGTATGTCACTGAACTCCTCCTAGACGGCAGGACCGATTTTGTTGAAATTTTTTGTGTGAGTTCAAGAGGCGTTGAGGATGGTTTAGATTCACAATTCGATCAACTAGATAATATTTTCACAATGAATTTATTTATTTTTTATATTGTTGTTGATGTAAGAACGTTTTACATAGAATTCCGGTCAGATATTTAAAAGTATATTTGAGTTGAGTCTTGAATAATAATTTTCATCAAAACGGTCCAGATTGTTACAGCTTATTAAAATATGTTTGAAATTTTCGAATTAGCGACGTGTGTACAGGACAACATCTGTCGGGTCTGCTAGACTCATTGACTGATCGGGAAACACGCAAAGTTGTATTTCTTGTAAAAGTTAATCCGCGTTTAACCGCTTCCCAAATAGCAGAAGATGTAAAAATACGATTTAAAAAAACAATATGAAGCAACACAGCAAGAAAACTATTAAAAAGGGCTGGTTATCACAGGCGAGTGGCACGCAAAAAGCCATTAATTTCCTTAAAAAATCGTATGAAGTACATTGCATTCGCAAACGAACATACAGCGGAACTTGTTCGCCTTTGGCTTCTTTACAATTCTCCAAAACAGCTACATTTAACTCCACAACCTCCTGACCTCAATCCAATTGAGCATTTATGGGCTCTATTGGAGCGCAGAATTCGTACACATACGATTACCAGCAAAGAAATGCTCAAGGAGTAAAATCTCGACTGAAGATATGAGAAAATTAGTACATTCCATATCTAAACGTCTAGCAGAAGTCCTAAAATAATTATTTTTAAACGCAAAGCTAGGGTTTAATAAATCAAAAAAAAAAAAAATTGTAATCTCTTAATTAGTCAAACTTTTATTTTAGTTTAAAAGATTTTGTACCCAGTGAGCGGAGACTTTTTCTACCTAGTGTATATATATTTTTTTAATTTTAATTTTTTATTTTTTTATTCATTTTTGAACTAATTACAGTTACAATATTGTCGAATTGAATAGTTGCCGTTTCATCTACGTAAATATAATATTATGAGCGAGCAGAAGTTTGCTTATTGGCTCAGAACCACTACAGTGTTTAAATGGTGGTGCAAGGGATATCTTTCGAATATAAACAATTAATCGACCGCGGTTATTGAAGGACATAACATATTTGGAAAAAGTAGGTAATATATGCAAATGTATATACTCGGTATGTTATTTTATTTGTTTATATAATATTTGTATACCCTGAACAGAGTAGATTAAGTTGTCACGAAGTTTATAACACCCAGAAGGAAACGTCGGAGACCCTAAAAAATATATATGTACAAGTATATTCAATGATAAGCATGACGAGCTGAGTAGATTTAGCCATGTCTGTCTGTATATACGCAAACTAGTCCCTCAGTTTTTGAGCTATGGAGATTAAATTTTATGCACGTAATTTTCTTCCCAAGAAGTTGATCATTTGTCGGAATCACCGATATCAGATCACTATAACATATAGATAGCTGTCATACAAACTGAACGATTGAAATAAATATTTATATGGAAAAGTTTTTTATTTGACATGGTATCTTCACGAAATTTGGCACGGATTATTAGGTATGCAGACTGGCTGTCCATTGGAATATTACCCAAGGTAACACTACAATATCTCACGAAATTTTCCAAATCGGACACATATAACTTGTAGCTGCCAAACTGACTGGTCAAAATCAATTTCTTACTGTTTTATTTGGCGAAATATCATCACGAAATTGACATGGATTATTGCCCAAGACAACGTTATAATCTCTGAACAAATTGTTCAGATTGGACCACTAGTTTTATATATGGAATAACATGTTGCCATTTCAATAGGGGTTCACAAAAACCACAAATAGCAGATCTTGTGAACTCTAGAAATATTTATATACACATGTAAATAAACAACAAATCCTTTTTATTAAATAATACACTTCCAATCGGAACAGCTTGACCGCATACATATATCCAAAGCATTTTTGCATACGTTTCTAACACTTAGAAACTTTTGATAACCCTGACACAATTATTAAATACAGCTTCGATATGCAAGGTAACATAAAGTATAGTATATAATTAGGGTGTACATGAATTTGCATGTATTCAACTTTTTTCGAACTACAAAAATTAATTTAGTTTTGAACACTGTCTGTAACAAAATATGTATGTTTCGTATATAAATAATTAAAAACAGAACTTGTAACACCACCTTTTCTCCAACATAAATAAACATTGCTCGCTAAAACAACAAGAACTACACATATATGTATGTTTGTACATATTTTCGTTTTCGCTAATTTTTTGGTTTAAATAAACTCTGTTTATTACAAGCTTTTCTTTGTTTAACACAGAAGTTTGCAGAAAAACTCCATTTTACACTTTATATTTGACTAAAATTTAACCTTGCCAGCAAATATTTGTATTTATCGATCGATCTCGCCGAACACTACATCGAGCGTACCGATGATCGCCACTATGTCAGCCAACATATGTTGTTTACCAATTTTGTCTAAGGCCGCCAAATGTGCAAAACCAGGTGCCTTAATTTTACAACGATATGGACGACTTGAGCCATCCGATACCAAGTAAACACCGAATTCCCCCTTTGGTGCTTCAATTGCTGTGTATGTAGCGCCAGGTGGTACTTGATAACCTTGAGTGAAGAGTTTAAAGTGATGAATGAGTGCCTCCATTGAGTTCTTCATTTCAGCACGTGAAGGAGGTGTTATTTTAGCATCATCGGTCTTAATTTCACCAGCTGGCATTTGATTCAAACATTGATCGATAATTCTCAACGATTGACGCATTTCCTCAATACGACACAAATAACGATCGTAACAATCACCCTTGGTGCCAATTGGTACATCGAAGTCAACTAGTTCATATGCATCATAAGGTTGCTGTTTACGCAAGTCCCATTTAATGCCCGAACCTCGCAGCATAACGCCACTGAAGCCATAATTTAACGCATCTTCGGCCGACACAATACCGATATCAGCAGTACGTTGCACCCAAATACGGTTGGTGGTGAGCACATCTTCCACTTCATCTAAACGTTCGGAAAATTTAGATGCAAACTCGTAAATATCATCCATTAGGCCGAGTGGTATATCCTATAGGGTAAATATTTAAGAATTAAATTTATGATATAATATGTCATAAAGTACATACCAGTGACACGCCACCGGGGCGTATATAGGCGGCGTGCATACGTGCGCCGGATACACGCTCGTAGAATTCCATCATCTTCTCACGTTCCTCGAAAAGCCAGAAAAAAGGTGTTAGCGCGCCCACATCCAAAGCGTGTGTACCCACGGCCATAATGTGATTGAGAATACGTGTAATTTCAGCGAAGAGTGCTGTGATTAAAACGCAATAATATTCCAAAAAAAATTTGAATTTTGGCGCACTTATTTATCCTATAACTTACTGCGAATATATTTGGCGCGTATTGGCACTTCAATGTTTAACAATTTCTCTATGGCTAAGGAATAGCACTGCTCGTTGCACATCATCGATACATAATCAAGACGGTCGAAGTATGGTAATGCCTGCGTGTAGGTTTTGTATTCAATCAACTTTTCGGTTCCACGATGCAACAAGCCAATATGGGGATCAGCGCGCATTACAGTCTGAAATAAGCACAAAGCCGATTAGAGATGAATTCTAAAATAAAAAATACTAAAAAATTTATATATATAATCATACCTCACCATCCAGTTCCAATACTAAACGTAACACACCGTGAGCTGCTGGATGCTGTGGACCAAAATTAATTGTCAAATTACGTACGGACTTTTCCACAGGCATAATCTTACCTAAAGACGAGCAGGAAAATCAAATTAAAATACAAAATGCCATACATTTGTATAAGTGTACAAGATACTCACTATTCCATGGTGGAAGTTTCATGAGGGCTGTGGACTCATCTGGATACATGACAGGACCACTGAATTGTTTCATGAATTCTGGGTCCGGATACCATTTTGCTGCGCCGCGTGTTTGCTGCTTGTCACTATTGGAAACAACGAAATTGATTATTTTTAATAAGTTTATTTGGAGCATACAAAATAAATCAGCTGTTCGGATAGTATATAAGTATGTAAATGAAATTATATTTCGTACGGACATAATGTAGACATATGAATATCCACACAAAATTTACACAGTTTTTAAACTAAATAGTAAAATCATGTATAGATCACTTTTCTATGGCATAAATATATTTGCCTTCCCCTTGTCTCCACTGTTTTCATTGATTATGTAAGCTCATTATTGTTTTTTTAGCCAGTTTTTAATGCAGATATTGTTATCGCACAATTTTACGACTTTGACGAGAGCTTATAGAAAACTTAGTAAATTTGGTATATTCTCTGCTCACCTGCCCAAAGTGGCTCCAACTACAGCAATAGCTTGAGGCCGCAACATTTGTAATCCGGCGGTAGCGGATCGCTTCATCATAACATTCATAGCTGACATAGACATCATTGCAGAGTTAATCGCTTAATTCGTCTTGCGTTAATAGTGTCAATACGTTAATCGTTATTAACTTATACACGGTAGTATTGGATCCACTCGCGTGTAAAATAAAAACGAAAAATCTTAATGAAAATTGGCTGGAACTGCAGTGGTAAGTAATGAAAAGCTCCAACCACAAATTTTATGAAATGTCAAATCTGACAATACACAGTTGTCAGTTATTGCTGTCGTTATTGTCAGCACTTTTGTATGTGTCAGTGATGTAAGTTTGAGAAAGATTGCTGATTTTAATAGAAACATATTTTTTCCATATTCCAAATAAGATATTTTCTTTTCTTACTCAAGTTAAATCTTTTTATAATTAATATTAAAAAGCACATTATTAAAAAACCTAAAAATAAACGAAAACCATTATAAATGGTAATGGTAATATCAATTGGGTCACACTGCTAACGAAAAAGGTCGCACATTTCTTTGTTGGAATTTTCTTGGCTTGTCTCGTTTTTCGCTGCACATACTTTAAAACGGTTGAAATCAGGATTCGTCTAGACATACACATTTTTTAATAAATTAATATAAGTTAAAAAGAGAAAGTTAAGTGTTTTTGTTAAAAATGCCAGCGGTTGTTCGTATAAAACGCAGAATTGATGAGGAGCCGCTTAGTGCATTCATATTAAATAGCAAGAAGCGACGCCGTTTAGAAGATAACGCAGGAGGGGAAGCAGCGGACGAGGCCGCAGGTACTGCTGCAGAGGTTGGCACAGGCCATGATGGGGCTGTAAATGACAAGGATGGCGAAGTATCAACAATACTCAAATTTGCGGGCACAATACAGGATCAGGTAAAGTATATAACGTTTAAACTTATTAGTTGATACATTAAATATATACATTCATATGTAAATATATTTAAAATAAAAAGACAAAAACCAATTTTTAGAAATACATATTTAAACATTATTCAAATTTAGGATGATGGCGCTACCACGCAGTTAGCGCGACTTACAAAAGAAGCTGCCAAAGAACTTGTACTACAGAAATCTATGCGACCACCTAGTAATCATACCGAACGTGCAAGACAGGAAATGCGGCAAGCAATGCACGAGAGCCGGTTCCGTGTGGTCAATTGTATGCGTACCACACTTGAAGACGCAAATGCAGCTGAAGCGGTAAAAGAAGTGACAATTGTCGATATTGAAAAGCAAGAGGCAGGCGCACAAACAGACAACGTGCCAACGTCCGCAACGGCAGATGCACAAGCACATTTGTCACAGCAAGTCGCACAACAACAACAAAGACAAACAATAGATGCGGATGCGCAGCATTTGCACGCAAATGACACGAATATTGCACAGCAAGCGACTGACTCTGATACAGGCTACGTATATGATTTGTATTTGCCAGAGAATGAATTGCAAGTGGAGTATGCTGATATGATGGGCGATAACTATTTAAGGTTGGTTTTGCACATCGAGCAGATATTGCTCACCAGTCGTTTCATATAAATCGGAGCGCTTGTTTATTTGCCAAAAACAAAAATATAAAATAATACATATAAATGAACAAATAAGTCAAAGCAGTCGTGCGGGGTGGCATTATATATAGATAGATGTGTATTTATGTTTATATGTATGTACATATATGTGTGTGTTCGCATGTGTACTTGGATAAGTGGATAATGGTAAATTTGATAAAACAGTAAATTGCCTGAAAAGCGTACGCCTTATATTGCTAAAGAATTGAAAAAAAAATCTACTTTTTAATGTGGAAATGACGAAACGCAAAGAAAATCAGTTGCGCATTTGTCTGTTCATACAAATAATTATGCATAAATATGCCAACATGCATACTAATTACATATAAATTAATAGTAAAATTGATGCAAATTGTTGTGTATTTATTAAGGTTGTACTATCCGTTTAATTACTACCACAACAACACTAGCTACAACTACTGCTATTGGTAATTGAGAAAGTTATTTAATTGTGTGAAATTAACAATTTGGGCAAAGATGCCCAATAATTTTGAACGGCGAAGGATATTGGTGGTAAACACACACACAGGCAGCACTGCGACAACACAGTAATAGCAAACAATTAAACAAAATGGCTGTTGGCAGAGTGCAGCAACGTTGATATTTGGACATTAACAAAAAAAAGCATGCAAATGCCAATATAAGAACTATTATAAAAAAAAATACATAAGCGAAAAATATAGAATTTAGTTTATGATAGAAATAATTTAAACGCACACATACAGGATTGCCGTTTATTTTTCATTAAAAAAAATTAAACATTTTAAATTCGTTTTGGTGTTTTTTATATACAACAGCAATATATAATTATAAAATCGCTTCGTTCAAATTCCAAAATTTAATACTCGCTTATTACGAAATACTTCTTGCTTTCCAACGTTTTTTTTCTGTTCTTTGTGCTTTTATGCTACAGTTTTTTTTCATATAAATATTCGCTTGCATCATTCCAAATCAAATGTTTTCTGCCAAAGTTACAAAAATCTTTATGAATTAGTTAAATTAAACAACAGCAGTGTGTATCAATCATTAATTTCATTTATGCTTTCACATAACTTTTGTTTTATAATTTTTACATTGCGCGATAATAATTATCAAAATAAACGAATTTTACCGCATACTATATGTATGTCTTTTGTGTGTTTGAAGTAATCCTCAATCCTGATACTTAATCAAAAAGCAGCGCACACTTGCATTATGTAGGCCAAAAATATTGCAAAATTTAGAAATAAATAATGTATAGTTTTAAATTTTTAATGCTAAGTATTGTTTGTAATATGCCTTACTTTAGGTGTAAACAATATTTTAATTTTTTTACATATGTATGTTTGTACATTTTGTTATAGTGGTAATTTGTGTGTATGTGTGCTTAGTGAGTAATTGAAAATAAATACTTGGTTTTAAACAGCCAAAAACGCAGAACATATTAAACATAAAAAATTCAAGACATATTGAAAAAGCTTACAAATAATTTATAAACCTCTAATTAAAAGATTATAGAAAAGAAAAAATATAAACACTATATTACATATATATATGTAAGTAAAATTATATTAAATTTGTTTGTACGCAACGCAAAATTAAACTTTACACAATTTAGCATATACGAATAGAGTAAGCAATTAAGTGTCGCATTAATATAAATGTTTGATTGCGGTTTTTTTTATTTAAATCATGAAACATAAATCTATGACATATTATATAATACATATAATGAGATAACCAAAAACAAAAAAAAAAATTGTTTTATTCACTGCTTTCGACTTCGGCAAGGGAATTGCGTTGTGAGTTCTTTGGTTGTGCCAAGTTTTTATTTTCATTTACTATAAAAAACCAACAACACTATTTGTGCAGCAAATCTTGTTTTTATAATGTTTAAGCTTTTGTTACGGCTATTTTGCAAAAAAATGCGAAAAATTGTGCCTAGAGTAGCATATACACATAATTCATAAAGGACTGCTCATAATTAGTCCAAGGCGCACCTCTCTCTTGAAATCAGCCATATAACCTAAAATTTGATATAGCAAATCTAGCCGAAACTCTTTACATCAAGCCTGAACATGCTAACAAAAAGTAAGAAAAAACGTTTACTTTTGCTGCAGCGTTACCCTTCATAAATACAAAATATTCCATACAAAAACTTGATTTTGATCGTTCATTTTGTATGACAGCTATATGCTACAGTCATTCGATGCAAACAATTCGTTCGGATATTGCACCGTTCGCTTAAAACAATATTCCACGCCAAATTTCGTTAAGATCTCGCCGAATAAAATATCTCGTCAAAAAAGAAGTTTTGCGTACAAGGACTTTGTTTGATCGATCAGTTTATATAGCAGTTATATGATATAGTGGTCCGATCTCAACAATTTCTTCAGAGTTTGTACCGTTGCCTTAAACACTAATTCGAGCTAAATTTAAATGAAAATATATTGTTAGATAAAAAAGTTTTCCATACAAGAAGTTGATTTTAATCGATCAGTTTGCATAGCAACTATACGCTTTAGTGGTCCCATATTGACTTTTCCGACAAATGCGACAGTTCGCGTTTATACAGATAGACAGACGGACATGGCTAAATTGACTCAGCTCGTCACGCTGATCATTTATATGCGTGTTACAAACTTCGTGGCAAACTTAATATACCCTGTTCAGTTTATTTTGACTGCATTTATTCTGTTAGGACAGGGATGCAAGCTTGACTTAGAATTAATAATATAATAATTTGGCTGTTTATATCGTAATGAATCGTAGATTTTAAATGAACGTATTATTGCAAAAACTCCACTCTTACAGCATTCGCCCTTACGATGACCTAGTCTATGAGGATCGTTTTAATGATGACGACGAGGATGAGGACTCGGAGGATTCGAATAACGAAAACTACTATACAAATGATTATCCCGATGAGGACGACGATAATGAGGATTATAAGGACTCATTTGATCATGAAGACATAGATGCCATGGCATTGGGTATGCGGCACCTGCGCATGGGTAAATAAAGAAAACATTTTTTTAAATTATAAATTAGAATTTATTTTATTGTATTGTATAACTTCTTTTATTTTCTTAAAGGCATTCAGCAAGGTTATATTCACACTTTTGATGACGATGACTCTAGCGTGTCCGGCTGTGAAGATTCCTCTGATGATGTTTACTATGATGATGGGGATCATATATTCGGACGGAGCAATAGGCATAATCATGGCGCAGATGATGATGACGACGAGGATGATGATGATGTCGACTATTATGATGCTGGCGGTAATAGCGATGATTCGAATGCCTAAATTAAAGGACTTCTTCAATTTGAGTAACATTTATATTTAATGAATCAATTACACTTATTTATGTACGCTTTTTCAATACCTACTATTGTTTTTGTAATACGTCATTTAGTATGTTAACTTGAACTTGTGTTTGTTTTACTATTGATTTTTTTGTAAACTCTTATTATTTCATCATACTCAATACATACATATATAGTATACATACTAGATTTGCTAAAAAAGACTCGATAATATTGAATATTAACAGAATAATAATATAGATATGAATGTATACCAATTTAACAAAACTTGTTTGAATTCTATTATAACGGGTGTTTTGTTAGAGGTATAGAACTTTAAATTGCGATAAAACAACAATGGATTATTCGATTGACATGAATTTTATTTATCCGAAAGATAATCTTGTTGCATTATAATTTATATGATTTCTGGCATATGACCGCCACGTCTGGCTCAGATGTAGTCCAATCTGGACGTCCAATTTTCGATAACTTTCCAACATTTGTGGCCGTATATCGGGAATAGCACGCCGAATGTTGTTTTCCAAATGGTTAAGCATTTGTGGCTTACGCGCATAGACCAATGACTTTATATAACCCCACAGAAAGTAGTCGAGCGGTGTTAAGTCACAAGATCTTGGAGGCCAATTCACAGGTCCAAAACGTGAAATTAGGCGGTCACCAAACCTGTCTTTCAATAAATCGATTGTGGCACAAGCTGTGTGACATGTTGCGTCGTCTTGTTGGAACCACAACTCATGGACATCATGGTTGTTCAATTCAGGAATGAAAAAGTTAGTAATTATGGCTCTATACCGATCACCATTGACTGTAACGTTCTGACCATCATCGCTTTTGAAGAAGTACGGACCAATGATTCCACCAGCCCATAAAGCGCACCAAACAGTCTGTTTTTCTGGATGTAACAGTGTTTCGACATACACTTGAGTTTTGTTTGTTGACGTAGCCATTCAAGCAGAAGCGCGCTTCATCGCTAAACAAAATGCTTATGAATCGGGAACAACAGCAATCTCTTTTTGGGCCCATTCGACGAATCAATTCGACGAAGCTTCAATTCTTGCACGAGTTGGATTTTGTAAGCACGAAAAACAAAATCATTCTGCAAAATCTTCCATAAAGTGGATGGACACAGGTCCGATTCCTGTGCTCGATGGCGGATGGACTTATTCGGGTCTTCCTTAATGCTAAGCAATACAGCAGCAATAGCTTCTTCTATACGCACCCTACGGTGGGGTTGCGAGTTATCAATAAGAGAAAACTTGGCTCGAAAACGGTCCATGGTTATTCGAATTAGCTGCTCTGATGGACGATTTTGTCGACGATGAAATGAACGTAGTGCACGATACGTATTTCGCCAGAACCATTATTTTCGAACTAAAATTGCACTATTGCAAGCGTTGTTTAGGCCTGAATTGACATACCAAACAATAGTATAATATATATATCCATTTTACGATGAACTAAACTGAGAATAAATCACTTGACAGCTTTTATATCGGTCGCCATCTTGAACAGTAATGC